TCTCCTTCTCCTTCTCCTTCTCCTTCTCCTTCTCCTTCTCCTTCTCCTTCTCCTTCTCCTTCTCCTTCTTGAAGGAGCATGGCCAGACATGCAGACATATCTCTGAAAGCTACTTTAAACATATGACGGCTTGCACTGTTGTCCTAACTAGCAATCTAACTGGTGGCAGCAAACTTAATTAGTTGTCTTAAGATAGCATTCCTGAACCTTATGTCTTCCCAAAGTGTTGGGACTCTTAAATGGTAGCATACGCTGTCTGGACAGTGTGCAGGCTATCAATAATTTAAGTAAATAAATGCACCTAACTCATTAATGTTCCTCAACTCCAAGTTCAGCTGATCAAATAATTGCAGTTACCTTGGACCATACTATGGATGGCTTAGGAATTCCACTGGCTTTGCAAGGCAACGTAACTGGGACATCTTCTATAGTACTGAATATCTGTTGTCCATGCTGAATTATGGGTGGAACTGAAAATACAAATATGCAGGTACCTTACAAATTATTTTTCATTACATGCTATTTTACATGTATGATGTTGCTGTTTATAATAAGGCACAATCTATTAACACAGATAATGAGGTATAAGTTTCAGTCTTAGAAAAGTTAGATGTAATGGCAGGTATAGGCAATGTGGGTCCCGCAGTCAATGATGTGAGGAAAAATACTCTTTGGTACCCACCAGATTCTCTGCCCCACTTGACTTTTTTAAAAGATTCTTTTAATTAAAAAATATTAAATAAGAAGCTGGCACGCTGCAGAGTACCAGCTTCTTACACTATATATTTATGTGCCTTTGGGCTCCACAAAGATCCAAAGGGATGTCATAAAGAATGCAGGGAGACCTGCTAGTTCACCTTCTGGTAAAGGCATTTTGTGGGTGGCTGTGTCCACTATGACAACCATTTTGCAACCAAGGTGGCTGTTTTATAAGTGTGCCTATAACATGTCCTCAAATATGTACCCAGGCCACAGAGATTACCACTCCTGCATTATGCCTCACATTTAGTTTCCTTTGATAACAAGGAATGTCTTCACACACAAAACTTAATAACAACAAAATTGTTGTTTTGGGTTTCCTGATTCCCATAAGCAATAACAAATAAAATGAACAAGCAGGTGGCATCATATTACAAAATTGGCGTTCCTAAATACCGTGGGAGAGAAAGAAGAAAGAGATGCCGGATGATAGCTACAGTAATAATATACAGTTCTGCTTTGCAAATGGGATTTATGAAACATATCCACAGGAGAACCCTAAAATGAAATTAAGTTTTTAGATGAACAGATGTACCACGTGCACAAGAGCAGAACAGAGTTGCTCCACACATCTTCTCATCAGGCAAGAGTGGTGCCAGCCTTAACTGAACCCCCTTCCCCTCAGTGATGTCCTATAGCAGGGCTGCTGGCTGTCTTCATTGGGAACAATCAATCCAACCTAGACTCTGTGCATTCAAAGCTTTGAAATCCAAGTATTCAGAAATTCAGTCACTTTGACCTTGCACTGACTGACAGCTTTCCTGTGAACACCTTAAACCTCTAACCACCTCCTCACCAGGCTTCCCATTTACTGACTTGGACTTATTGCAGGCAAACTCTCTTTTCCTGTAAAGTGTGCATGCATCTGTGCACAAGCTGTGTGCGGCTGGCCACTGCTTATAAACTCTTTGCAATGAAAGTAAACTTCTGAAAACCCAGAACTACGATTCAACCCAGGGGGTCATAAAGAACAGCAGGGTCGTAGGGAGAAAAAAACGGCAAATGAATACTAGGGTGGGAATGGGGGTGGAGGGATCGTGACTGGAGGGCTCTACGTGCAAGCATCAGCAGTTTGAACTGGGATCTGCAATCTTTAAAGGAAGCTTTAAAGTAGAATCTCCAAAATGTGTTTAGGTGTAATTAAAATAAATAAAGTAAAATAAAACAAAGTGAAGTCATAGCATGAATTCTTTACAAGATATAACTTTCAATGATAATAGAGTGCAAAGCTATTCACAATTATAAGATCTCTTTGACAAGTTTTCCCATGAAGAAGCATAAGATACATAACTTCCAAAGCATAACAAGTATTTGGGGAAAAAATACAAATGTCTAGAGCATTTCCAAATGGCTATATTAATCTGTTTGCTGTGTTGACACCAAAGCCATTCCAGATCTAACTTGATGTATGCCTATCCTTCCCTTGTCTGCTTCCCTGCTGTATGAAAGTCTGCTTTTCCTTTGGAAGCTGTAAGATTACCAACATTATTCTAACACTGAGAACTTTTGCCACATCTGTGCAGTCCAAGAGGACCATCTGTTTCTCATTGAAAGGTTCTTGTCCTCCCTTCCAAGGGGCCTGCATCCAGCTTCAGCATTCCGTTTACACCTGAAACCAGGCATTACGACATTTGAAATCAATCTTCTCTCCACCTTCTCCCCTATCATCTTCTTCAGGTTCATACAGCTGCCACAGTCTGGTTTGTACATGTATTATTTCTTCCCTGCCACACTGCTCAGGTGGACTTTTTTGTGGAGGCTATGTGCCATTAAGTGGTATCATTAAGCTTATAGCCACCCAGAGAGGTTTCTCTTTGCAATTTTGCCCCACATCACTTGCATACAGCCATCAAAAGGAATTCTACATGCAGGTTTATTGATATATCACCATGATCATCAGCCTACCACATGTTTACAACAATCTTCCCTTATCACCAATCTACAGAAACCAGCCACTCAGAAATATCTTTTATTTTGCAATCGGCTAGACCACAAAAGACAAACATGTGGGTCATGTAGGGGCAGGAGCAAGTCCTCTTCTTTTTCTGGAGGTTGTCAAAGGGATTTTAATTTGTTCACCACCAAAGCAAGCTCAGATGCACTAGAGTTTGGGAAATGCAACTGGGCACGAAAGACGCTCAGCTACTGGTTGACTTAAAGACAATGAGGATAAATAGTGAGCTTGGAGAACTAGGACTGTCAACACCAAACGACAGAAATATAGATGCTCCCATGACAGCAGTACTAAGAACAAGAAAAAATAAAAACACCAAATGTTTTCCAGTTCTTTTTAAATGCACACTGTGAAGGTCTGGCAAATGGATTGGCAGGAAACCATAGTATGTGGATTCTTGCATAAAGTATTAGAGCAACCAGTAAAAAAGGCCATCATAATAATCTCTGTTTCAGAGATGGGAAAGTACCTTTCATACAAGTGGCTTCCTGATTCATATCTGGTTCTCAATACCTCCCAAAAGCATGCAAAACATTCTATTATCTTCTTAAAAATGGAACATCATTGCTACCCATTCACAGACCTAAAGAATGATCTGCAGAGGGCTTTGCAGGAGGATAAGGATGGCAGATAATATCCAGCTGCTGATCTCCTGGACCTATTTAGATTTTGTGGGAGCTGCTGCCTGGAAAATGCAAAATTTTCAAATAAGTTGGTCAGCAGTTATTTTTTTGTTTGTTTGTTTGTTTGTTTAAGGATCTCTGTGTTAATGGCATCAATATGCAAATATGGTATTTTCCTCAAAATCTTCTTGCCTTTATAAGTCTTTGATATTTTGAATAGCTATCACAATCTTTTCTATCAGTTCTTAATAGAACTGTACAATCTACTTTGGCCACCTAATGCGAAGAGGAAAAGGCCTCTTTGGAAAAGGCCCTGATGCTGGGAAAGATGGAAGGCAAAAGGAGAAGGGGACGGCAGAGGATGAGATGGTT